TTTATAATACTGACAGAATTTTTTTATACTCATGGGTACATTTTAGAAGAATGGCACAGGACCTACATAATGATAATCTGTGAAATTTTATTTAGGGATATAAACAATGTCTGAACAAATTCAAAGATATATTCTTATTGTGACAGTATTCTTACTGGGATGACTAAATATCATTAAAAGTCTACTATCCCCAAACTAGTTTCTTTTTTTTTAATTATGTTATGTTAGTCCCCAAACTAGTTTCTAAATTTGATGCCATTTCAGTTGTAATGCCAAAATTGTATTTCTTTGAAGCTGAAAAAAGGATACTGAAGCTCATATAATAGAACTGAGGAGGAATGATAGTGGTAGGGGGGAATATATTGAAGGAGCTTATCTTGCCAAATATCCACATAATATTTTAATAAAAAGAGATAAGTAGGACATTGTTAAAATTAAAAACCCATAAATATATCTCAGATTTAATGTGACTCATTTGCTATTTTAGTTCAGTTAGAAAAGAGTCATTTATTAATGTTGCTGTCACAAGTTGTTATCCATCAAATGTTAATGAAGTTAGACATCTATTTCACACCAAGTACAAACATGAATTCCAAATGATTACAGACTTAAATGTAAAAAGTTAAAAATTAAAGGCTAAATAGAAGGACATCTAGGAAATTTTTTAAAATCAAAGCTGAGGCAGACCTTTACATAGATGGGTAAAGAGACTTGATGTTTAAAGAAAATAAATTATGTATGAATATATAAAAACAAAAACTTTGGCTTGGCAAAAGATACCATAAAAGAAGTTAAGAGCAAATAATAGAGCTGAAAAAACACTTGCTGCATAGAATACAAATGGTTAACATACCTGAAATATAAAGTGCTCTAAAACATTAATAAAAACAGCAAACAAGCCAAAAGTAAAATGGGCTATGGATATGATCGTCAAAAAAGATCAAATGCAAATGGTGAACTAATATGTGAAAAGATGTTAATATTGCCTAGTGGTAAGAACACAAACTGAAATAAAAATATCATTATATCATAAACTATAACACATTGCAGGCTCAGTAGGGGTTAAAGGGCACTCTTACTCTGCTGGTGGAGATGTAAGTATACCTGGTAAACAATTTGGCAACATCAATTAAAATTAGAAATACATATACACTTTACAATTCTATTTCTGGGAATCAATTCTAGATAAATAAAAACATTAAATTTCATGTTATGTACTGAAAAATGTTTATTGTAGCATTTTTTGTAGTGGTTAAAAATGGGAAGCAAAGTTGCTTCCATATTTTGGCTAAGCAAAATATGTCAGACTGAGAAAGACAAATACCATATGATTTCACTTATACATGGTCTAAAAACATAACAAATAAATAAACAAATAAACAAAAAGCAGAATCAGACCTGTAAACACAAAGAATTGATGGCTGCTGGAGGGGAGATGGGTCAGGGTATGGGCAAAATGGGTGGAGGAGAGTGGGAGATACAGGCTTCCAGTTATGGAAGGAATAAATCCAGGAATAAAAGGCACAGCATAAGGAATATGTCAATGATACTGTAATAGTGTTGCATTATGACAGATGGTAGCTACCCTTGTGGTGGGCCTAACATAAGGTATAAAGAAGCTGAATCACTATGTTCTACACCTGAAACTAATGTAATATTGTATGTCAACTATACTCATAAAAATTTTTTTAAATGGAAGCAAAGTGAATCCATATGTAGGGGAATGGCTTGAGAAACTATGACACAGTCACAAGATGGGATTTAATGCTGACACACACAAAAATGAATTAAAGCTATGCCATTTGACATGTAGTAAGTTTTATAAATTATTAATGAATGAGAAAAGAAAAATGTGTATTATATATAGTTTTCAAACAGAGATGGAAAAGCTTCTATATATATATATATATATGACAGAATATGCACACAGAAATTTGAATATGAATATATAAGCCAAAGAAAGTTAAGAAAGATAAATACTTTGTAGTTAACATGGGTTACCTTGAGTGGAAAATAAGTAGGAGAAGATGTTGAAAGGGTGGCAAGCCCCCCGCTCCCCGGCCCCCAAATCACCAGGAAATAGACTGTATGATATGGTCCCATTTAGGTATTTATATAAAATGTCTGGATAAATTAATATATATATATGTAAAAATTATTTTAAAAAACAACACTACACAGCAATTAAATATACACTCCTTAGTTAAGAGAAAATAAAATTCATTCCTAGAAATATTCCCTAGATTATTGGAGATAAAAATTCATCCATTACTATCATTTCTTCTATGTGTAATTCTTTCCTTCTCTGATTCTGATTTTAGCTTTCAGGCCGTGTTAGTTTGAATTCTAGGCCTCAATAGAGCATCGTGGAAGAATATAAGATAGGAGGAGTTACTAACTTTCTTCCATTAGGGAGACAGCATGCTAAGCAAGGTAGACATTGTAGCTTTAGAGAGATTGGAGGTTCATTGTTTTCCAGGTCCTCCAAATTCTCCACAATGTCATTATTCCAATTATTCAGATGATACAATCCCCTGATAAACATCTAATTCTCCCATAAGCAACCTGTTGTGATAGCAAATTCATGGAATCAATCTCTGAGTTATTTTGTATAGCCTCTGCTCTATATCTATAAAATGAAAGATATCGTTTCAGCATAGGGAAAGAAAGGCCCTGAAGTTCATTCTGTACCTTAAGGTCAAAAATCAAGAAATGAAATAATTATCTTGACAACAGAAGACCTGTGGTCTTGGCATTCCTCTTCTCTTGGACTTGCTTAATTTTAGCACTTTCTCCTTATTCAGAGGCTTAGCACAATATCCACAGTCTCGGGCAATCATGGGTCTTAAGGGTGGCAATTACATATCATGAGCAGAAAAAAATGGAAGGACAAGTCACTTCACTGTACACATCTTAGCACAATAACTAATTTTACATATCCTCACTTCCCTGAGAGTTGTTGTCTACAAATGAATCTCCAGTTCCAACTTCAAAACTAATTTGCTTTCTTTGAAAACAACAGAAACTGACTGTGGATGACCTGATTAAAGGCAGAAAAGGAACTTTTGGGGGAAAAAAGGATGATTCACAAAACAGAAGAGGAAGGGTAGCATACGAATTACTTTCTTTTCTCAAATCTTAACCAAATAACTAATTCTAAACACTTTGCATTTCACTAAAGTTCAGTTGACTTAATTTCACCTTTGATACCTGTATCAGTTACCATTCTTTAGTTGTAAGCAACTGAACCTGATAATAAATAATTATAAAAAGGATCTGTGAGCCTTGTAGACTTAATGGAGAGGGTAGTTCAGTGACTGAGAACATGTACTCTGTTCTAACTGCATAGGTTAAATTCCAGCTCCACCATTTCCTTGCTATGAATCACTGGACAGGAAAACATTCTCACTTCCTCACCAGTAAAGGAAAACTAACAATAAATGTATCTCATGCCTGTTGAGATGATTAAGTAGGATAATAAAGGTAAGGTACTGTATTAGTTTTCTATTGCAGCTATAACAAATTACCACAAACTTAGTGATTTAAAATGGCAGAAATAGGGGCGCCTGGGTGGCTCAGTTGGTTGAGCGACTGCCTTCAGCTTAGGTCATGATCCTGGAGTCCCTGGATCGAGTCCCGCATCGGGCTCCCTGCTCGGCGAGGAGCCTGCTTCTCCCTCTAACCCTCTCCCCTCTCATGTACTCTCTCTCTCTCATTCTCGCTCTCTCAAATAAATAAATAAATCTTTAAAAATAAATAAATAAATAAATAATGGCAGAAATATATTATCTCAGAGATCTTTACATCAGAATCTGGATAGGCTCACTGATTCTACTTTTCTGGATCACACAAGGCCCAAATCAAGCCAGTAGGCCTTACCTGAAGGATCTGGAGGAGACATCATTCAGGTTGTTGGCAGAAGTCAGTTCTCTGAATTCCACAAACTGAGGTTCCTGTTTCTTTCCTGGCTCTTGGCTGGGAATTGTTCTTAGTTTCTAGAGGCCACACAGTCTCTGGCTAATGGCCCTTATCCATGATTAAAGCCAACAATGGTCAGTTGAGTTCTTCTTATGCTTATATTATCTCTGACCTTCCCTTCTGGCTTTTGTTCCTGACTACAGCTGGAGAAGTTTCCCTGCTTTTAAGCATTCATGTGATTAGACTGAGCCCACCTGGATAATCCAGGATACTCTCCCTATTTTAAGGTCTACAATTTTATACATCTGCCCAATCCCTTATGCCATATAACATATTCATAGTTTCCAGGGATTTAGGAGGACCTCTTTGGGGGGCAGCCTGCCCATCACGAAACTTAGCACACTTCTTGACATGAGTTAAGAAATGTAACAAATTAGTATTGTTACTATATTTGTTAAAAATATGACCTCAGGAAGGACAACTGCTAGGAGAGCCGGATTTCATGGTCTCTTTAGGCACTACAGTCAGATTGACTCTGTTCCAAGTGCTGTCTTTTCTTGTTGTTTATTCCTCCTAAGTACTTGAATTTCCTAGAGTAAGATTCTGAATAACCTCACTTGGGTCTTGGTTTTAATCCTTGCCTCAGTGCACTGTTAGGAGAAAGGGATAGAAAAGTGAGCCTATCCTAGGTTATTGGATCACCCCGTATTACAGACATGAATTTGAGAGAACTAGTTTTCCTAAGGATTTGGGTGTAATTATTTGAAGAAGTGTGAAGGAGTAATGAGCAACCAATAGCAATAGATGTCCACATAGATATGAAAAATAATATTTTTATAAAATGATCCCCTAAAAAAGGAAGGCTATCTGATTCGTTTCTCCTTTTCTAAATAAGAATTAACCCTAATCAACCTGAGATATTAGTTTTCTGTCCTCTTCATGAGCATTTTCAAGGAAATAAATGTCACTATGTTCTCTGTAGCACCTAGCATCATGGACAACCAAGAAACTCTACTTAAAATCCATTATTTGATCATGTAGCATAATAGTTCAGTTTCCCTTTAGTCATGATTTTGTGGCTACTACATGAAAGAATGCAAGTATTTTCTGAACATTCTTCCCATAGCTGCCTTCACCTCCTTGTTCTGCAGGCTATAAATGAGGGGGTTTAGCATGGGAGTGACCACACTGTACTGTAAGGAGAACATCATCTCCAGAGGGGAGCCTGAAGTTGGCAAGAGATAGCTGAGGAAACCTGAGCCATAGAACAAGGTCACAGTAGTGAGGTGGGAGGAGCAGGTGGAGAAGGCCTTGCCTCTGCCTGAGGTGGAGCTGATACTCAGGATGGTGGAGACAATTTGGGCATAGGAGAAAACAATCATAAGGAAGGTTCCAAAGAAATGTAGGACAGAGGAGCAGAGCAGGAGTGTGAAGTTGGTGGAGGTATCAGAGCAAGACAGAGAGAAGAGAGAAGACAGCTCACAGCTGAAGTGGGGAATAGTCTGGTCCTCACAATAGTCTAAATTGACAGCCAAGAGGATATTGATGAGAGCATCAGCAAAGGCCAGGCCCCAGGAACCCCACACCATCCCAACACAGAGCTGGTTGCTCATCACTTGGCCATAGAGCAGAGGGCAGGTGATGGCTACATAGCGGTCATAGGCCATCACAGCCAGCAGACAGGCCTCAGTACCCCCCGTGGCAAACATAAAGAAGGCCTGAGCCAGGCAGCTCTCTACAAAGATGGTTTTGCTTTCAGAAAGTAGATTCTCCAGCATCTTGGGGACTGTGACAGATGAGTGGCAGAGGTCCAGGAAGGAGAGCTGTCTCAAAAAGAAGTACATGGGCATGTGGAGGTGGGAATCAGGCCTAATCACCAGCAGCATCAAGAAATTTCCCATCAGAGTGAAGAGATAAATCAGAAGGAATAACACAAAGAGTATGTCCTGAATATTGGGGTCAATGGATAGTCCAAGGAGAATGAACTCACTGATAGCACTGTAGTTTTTCATTGCCATATACAGAAGTGTTCTCTCTGGAAAACAAGAAGATTCACCAAAAGTCTTTCAGTGCATCTCAGTACCCCACTACCTAGATCTTATTCAACATGAATATCTTTTCATTACTGTCCCACAATCCACATTCAGGTATTTAAAAGTTAATTTCTTGGTCATCATCTTGCCATTGGTATTTTAAATAAGCCAAGATCCTATTTTTATTATAATCTTTTTTGGAGCCATAATGTAGTTTAGAGTGATACATTTGAAAAGAAGTTTCCTGATATGAGAAAAAGGTAGAGAAGAAAATCTCAGGAGTGAATTACCTGAGAAATTGAGGTAGGATTAAGTCTAGATTCAAAGGACTTAGGTAGGAGCAGGGATACTTTGTATATTCTGTGTCTAGGAGAGACGGTCAAGAGTACAAGAAGTGAGTTTCCATTTGACTGCTTTCATTTGTTTTCAATAAAGTGTAAATGAGATTATTGGTTGTGCATGTGGCTGTGTGCAAGCATGCCCACATGTACACAATAAATTATAAAGGTATTGATAATGATAAAAGTACGTGCACAATCATGGGCATAGGGGTCAAGGTGAAGTGTAAGAAACTATTACAGGATAGGAGGACAATAAGACATCAAGGAATTAGAAACTAGATGCGGAATTAGATTGTTCTGGATTTTTATAATTTTAAATTTCCTTCATTTTATTTGATGGCATCATATTGTAATTTAATTTTAAAATACATTCACAAAATAATAATCAAGTTTTAAAAACTGGTAGCCTAGATCATGATGCCCAGTGATATTTTAGGTGGGCAATGCTATGACTACAATCGGTCATGAGAAGCTGTTCCCACTTAACAGGACAATGCTTTGATTAGATCATCATGCTAACCCTAAAAGTCATATATCCAGGAATATATGTAGTCACCACTCCCATCGAGGCCATTATTGCAGGTTTTAAGGCCCCCACATGGTTATCTAAACTCTCTCCTCATACTTTGAAACTTGTGCATATATCCTCGTACTGGCCTGATATTTTAGACTTCACCTGAGTCTCAATATAACTGCTCAATATTCTTGCCTCAAACTGGAGCTGCTCCCTGGCCCTTGCTATTCTAATTCAACACTACTTCATTTACTCCATCAGCAAAGACTGAGGGAACTATCCTGTTGTTGATTCACTGACTGAACAGCTAAGCATCCCAGTCCATGTAAGGAACAAAACCTAATTATCTGAATTCTTAGTTGGTAGTACAATGTTTTGTGGCAACAATACTTTCAGATCCAGTAAGTAATAAAACTCTTCAGCTTGTGAAGTCAACATTAAGAATACTGTTTTAACAAGACAGAGGATCATAGGGTAAGGGAGGGAAAAATGAAACAAGATGAAACCAGAGAGGGAAACAAACCATAAGAGACTCTTTTTTTTTTTTTTTTTCATAAGAGACTCTTAATCTCAGGAAACAAACTGAGGGTTGCTGGAGTGGAGGGGGGTGAAAGGGATGGTGTGGCTGGGTGATGGACATTGGGTAGGGTATGTGCCATGGTGAGTGCTGTGAATTGTGTAAGACTGATGAATCACAACCTATACCCCTGAAACAAATAATACACTATATGTTAATAAAAAAAAAGAATACTTTTTTAAAGAAGTAGAAAATCATAAATTGGAAGTTAACATTTAGGATGGATTCAACACTAGCAATGAAAAATAATAAATTGTGGGCAATATATAGGTATTTATTTATAATTACTGGGGGTCAGACTATGGAGATAATCTCTTAAATTCTTATTCTTTCACTCTTTAGATATAGCAATATTATGCATGGGGGCTCTCAATGCTCATCCTGAGATCACCCCATCACCCAAAGAGCAAAGCAAGAGAACCCAAGTAAGGATTCACAGTAGCCAGGAGTGAGGTTTGTGTTGTATGACTTCAGAGCCAGTACATACAAAATAAAATTCCCTTCCTCTTGGCTACCAACAAACATAGTCCAACTAACTAGATCCAGAGATTCCATGAACTGCAGAGAGAATCCGAACCTTGGATCAAGGCAATACCTTGCAAAGAAACAACCATTGTGATAAAAGTCAATGCTAGGGGTTTGATTTCCCAGTAAGTTTCTTCTTTAACATAATTTAGAGGTTCGCAGAACAATCTTTTAAAAATAAAATTAAGGGGCGCCTGGGTGGCTCAGTTGGTTAAACAACTGCCTTCGGCTCAGGTCATGATCCTGGAGTCCTGGGATCGAGTCCCACATCGGGCTCCCTGCTCAGCAGGGAGTCTGCTTCTCCCTTTGAACCTCACCCTCTCATGCTCTCTGTCTCCCATTCTCTCTCTCAGATAAATAAATAAAATCTTTAAAAAAAAATAAAAATAAATAAAATTAAGGAGTGATGTTAGTAAGATGGTGGAATAAGAGGTCCCAGCCCTTATCCCCCCAAAGAAACACCAATTTAACAACCATCCATGGATGAAAATACCTTTATGAACGATCTGGAATCCAGGTGACAGATTACAGCACTCTGGAGGAACACAGAAATAAGAAAAGACACATTTGAAAGGGTAAGAAATACCTTTACCCATGTCAACCTTCTCACAACTCAGCATAGAGAACTGCATGAAGATCCTTGACCCGCAAGTTCTCCCATGGGGGAAAGAGAGAGAAAGCATACCCACAGATGCCAGCCCCAGATTTACCTGCCCACATATCCCAGCACCACCTGCCTGCCTGTGAACCCCAGCAAAGGGCACAATGCCAACCCACATACCCCATCAGCCAGCCTGCTCATGGTCCCCATCAACCAGCCTACCCAGAATCTCTGGCCTGGCTGACAGTGAAGGACTTTCCTTGTTAAAGTTTCCTCTTGAAGAAATATGTGCACTCCAATATTCATTGCCACATTATTCACAGTAGTCAAGACATGGTAACAACCTAAGAGTCCATCACAGATTAATGGATAAAGAAAATGTCACATATACATGTAATAGAGTATTACTCAGCCTTAAAAAAGGAAATCCTGCCATTTGCAACAACATGGATGAACTTGGAGGATTATATGCTAAGTGAAATAAGCCAGATGCGGAAGGAAAAATACTACATGATAACAACTATATGAGGAATCTAAAATAGTCAAACTCATAGAAGCAGAGAGTAGAATATGATTACCAGGGGCTGAAAGGAGGAGAAATAGGGAGGTATAAGTCAAAGGGTTCAAAATCAGTTACACAAGATGAATAAGTCCTGAGATCTACCATATACCATCATGACCATAATTAGTAATACTGTATTATATACTTAAAAAGTGGCTAACAGGATATATCTTAAATGTTATTTTCACACACAAAAAGTTAAAATAGGGCGCCTGGGTGGCTCAGTTGGTTAAGCGACTGCCTTCAGCTCAGGTCATGATCCTGGAGTCCCAGGATCGAGTCCCGCATCGG